TTGAGTCGCAACCCTGAAGACCAACACTCACTGTGGGCTTCTAACACCTTGCATCATCTTTGAAGAGCAATAGCTGCATAAAAATGCCCATTCAGAACTTGGGCCGGCTATCAGAAATGTGGTCATACGAATGGTGACGAAGACGACACGAGACGCCAGCGTGCCCAACTATTCCCGCAAGCACCCTGGAAAAGGGACTTCCGCTACAGTGTACTAGAAGGGAGCAGGGAAGTGAACAAGGTGGCAGCGCCGCATCTCGGCTGATTCTCCGGCGGGTGACATTAGCGGCGGCACTATTGCCCCAGGAGCGTCTGAATTGGGAGCGCGCACGCCGTACGTAGCCTGCGAAAGCGTGTAATTGCTAGTTTTTAGCGCGTTTAATGCATTTTTGAACCTTTATAAGTGGACTCACCTGCTACGCGCTATGGTACGTGAGTGAATATGCAGGCACGCCGAAATTGCGTCGATACATTGACTGTTTCAAAAGCCTGCTGACCCGTCTCCCCCCCCCCCAAAAAAAAACAAATGTCAATCGGAATCTGCACGGATCCGCCTAACTTCTCACTCAAGCAGCACTTTGAGTTGCGTTACATCATAAGTGGCTACTTGCGAACTACAAAGAGAGGAGAAGTATCAAAACTGCGATTAAATCATACGCTCGTTTTGTCGGTAGTCTCTACGATGTGCAGAGCACAGTGTTCCTCATACGAGCTTATGTGCGCTCGGCCGTTTTACGAGAAACCCCTTAACACAGCTACTATTGGGCTATACGGGCGATGGCAACATGTGCTTGACATGAATGATGGGCAGGTGCAAAGAAATATTCATCAAGAAAGCGCGACGGAGGAGCCGAAGCGTATAGCAGTTTTTGCACGCGACGCGCGGCTTTTTTAGTATGAATGGATGGATGAATATGGCTGTACCCTTTAGATCGGGCAGTGGCTAGCGCCACCAAGCCGTAATACCTAATGAATCAAAAATTAGATTTTTTTTTTCTCTTAAATAGTGAGGTTGAGGATTCGTACTTTGCAGTGAAGGGTTTAATTTTTACTCGTGCCTTGACTTTAGCCACCAATCAGATAACCTTTTTCTAGTTAATTCGACCTGCTTAAAATTTATTTTGCCCTCCCTGTCCCTAAACCCCGGTGCTTTGAAAAACTCTGCGCCATCATCCTGAACTATAGGGTGAAGCCCTTTACAGAACATTATCAAGTGTTCGGCAGTTTCTTCTTCCTCTCCTTATCAAGTGTTCGGCAGTTTCTTCTTCCTCTCCACACGCACTGCATACCGTGTCTACCCCTTCGTATTTGGCCCGATATGTCTTGGTTCGTAATACTCATGGTTCGCAGTACTATTCGACTACAGCGCCGCTGCTACGGGAAACGCGAAAGGGATCAGCCGGTGAGGCGCGGTCACGCCACTCAACACTTCTAGTACACTCTACTTCCACCACACGCATCGCTCTGCAGCAGTCTATGAAGGGAGAAAAAAAAAATTTGCTTCCTTCATGCCTTTGCATTCTTTTCTCCATGGGCCCTTAAAACCTATAACGATAGAGTTAATATACACCCTATGCCTATCACCACTAGGGCTTCGCCTTGATAGAACTACATAAATAGCCATTGCATTTATTCTAAAATTACTTGGTATAAACTTCATGCAATTTAATTTTGTTGGTGATGCGTGAAGGCGCTTGTGTAAAATTTTTGTTGCTAAAGTTTGCGTGTTTAAAACGTTTATATTTGACGTACTTTTGAAGTATTATAATGGTAACATTGACAAAGTTCTAAGATGTCAGCGTTCTAGTTGTTTTATAACTTTTTTCCTAGAGTAATACTAACAACTCTATGACTTGTAACCACCTAAACGCTGACATCTTGGAACGTTGTCGTTGTTGCCATTACAGTACATGAAAGAAGTGCTAAATATATCAATTTAAAACACTCAATTTTTGCAATATAAATTATAAACAAATGTGCTCACGTTTTGTAAAACAACAAACGTTTTGTGATGTTTAATCAACTTACTATTTATGGGAAAGTTTTTTCTAATGGCTGTTTATGCAATTTACTGCGCGCGAAAAGGAGTATTTGCAGGTTTATTTACTAGATAGCGCCACCATTTGTGTATCGACATTTGAGAGCGTGGTCGTGCGGCGGTTGCGAGCTGTGTTCTTGTTCCCACAACTTTTATGTAACAGTCTCTTACTGCGATGCAGCAGATATCTACGAAACAAGAAAATAATTCCAAGGGTTATAGTAGCATGCAGTGGCGATTCCGCCGGCGAGTGTATCTAACCCATGGTACAGTATTCTAGCCACTGTACCCATGGAGGAAGGAAAACGTAACCCGAGAGCCGAGTATTGTGTTCCATCATGGCGGCACCTAGGCGGTTATAGGTTTATGGGCTTCATGGAGTTATTATATTAGCTCTATGACGGGAGGACCTGGACCAACAACGACTTTGAGGTGGCTAGAATCCTCGGCAAGTTCTAGCCACCCTAATGACGTCTCGTCGCCAGGGCCAAGGAGGCCAGGGCCTGGTAGGTGTTCTGTGGCCAGAGGGTTCCTGGAATGAGACGTCCCACCTACGGTGGACGCGAAACCTATTATACACCGCTTCGAAAATGAGCGTTTATTTCTCCTCTTCCTCTACGATTAGCCCTATGGAGAGCTTTTCCTCCTGTGGCGCGGCCGGGTGAACTCTAGTGGGGCCAGTGCCCAGTGCGACCGATTGTGGCGGCTTGTTTGCTCGCCGGGGGAGAAGAACGGCTTTTTGGGCTGGTTGGTTGAATACCATGTTAATACGAGTTGCAGCGCACACACGACAGTGCAGAAAGAAAAGCCTACGGAAGGCAAAGAAGGACCACACGAGCGCTGACTACCAAATGAACTTATTTCTTGCAGCGCGCATGTTAATATATACAAACAGGCAAAATATTTCAGCAGGCAAACGTGACATAGTTCTGGGGGAGTGTCCGATAAAAACGAAGGCACAATGATAAAAGGGCAAACCCCTATCTAAAAGCGCGGTTTCTTTTTTATACAAATCCACCGAAGGCTGGCTCACACATTCGTCACCAAATTTTCTGTTATGATATGCCTCAGTAAGTTCGCGTGTTAATTTGTCCATACGGCGTTCCTGTACACTCACAGCCTGAAATCTAAGCTGGCACTCGCAACTTTTACAGTGCACATAACAAGGTTCAACTTATCCGTACGGACAAACAACGTACAACAAAAGCACAACGTACGGACAAAAGCAGAGTTGTACCGAAATGAAAAAGGAGTTAAACTGGGAGTTACTGTCGTCCCGTCGCAAAAAATTGCGTTTGAAGCTTTTATACCAGATATTTCATAAAAAAAAACGGGACTAGACAGCGACACTTACTTAAAAAGACCAGACTACATATCTCAACGTACAGACCACATACACAAAATAAAGCCGTGCCGGGCCAGGACGAACCTGTATTCAAACTCGTTTTTTGTTAAAACTATTAACGAATGGAATTGTTTGACATCTAAGCAAGTGTGCAGTGTTAATGAAGATGTATTTTTTTCAACTTTGTAACCCCCCTGCTGTAACGCCTCTGGCAAAGCGGGGATATGTATGATTAAAGAATAAAGAAAAAATCCCCTTTGCACAAATCGTTCTTACGCTCTCCCAAAATTTATTTATGCAACTTTCAGTTTGACCTATACAACTGCAACTGCACGTTGAAAGGAAGTATGTGTACCACACCCACGGCGCATTCTATAAATTTACGTGTTTTACGGCGCATGTCCAACTCTTCATGGTTATTTCAGTAAGGCATTCATCTGTCAACCTGCAAATCTGGCCTACTTTGCACGGTGCTGATGATACCACATCTACACCATATCGCGAGCCAGCTTTTTTCAAGCCACGAGATATGTTTCTTCTTCGTTCTTCCTGGCTTTGTGGTCCATGTTTTCTGCTGCCATGATCCAACAACTCGACGTGATTTGACCATCTCTTACTGGGATGCAGCAGAGATCCATAAAACAGAAAAAGATGCCAGGGCTTATTGTAGCATGCAGTGGCCAGTGCAAGTGGACGTCACCCGAAAGCTAGAATTGTTTCATCGAGGCGGCACCCGAGCATGGGGAGCTTTTCCTCTGCTGTCTGTATATTGACTATGTCATGTGGTCATGACCAAAAAGTTAATATAACAAACTATATTAACTAACAGACAGAATGTTAGCTTTAAGGTTGTAGCTTTACCGGCACAGCCCCCTTGATGGAACGATACTCGGCTCGGCTTTCAGGTGAATGCCAGATCGATGCAGAGTTGGAATGTTGCGAGGTGGAGAGAGAATAAATCGTTTATGGTTTAAGGATGGTAGCACCATCTAGGAAGCAAACCTGCAAACACTTTCTTATGCATGCAGTAAAAATTACAACAACAGTTGTAATGTGTTCTGCCACATTCCAATTTATGCAGGCGCTTTTTGATATCAATGGCACAATTTTGAGCACATTATCTCAACAGCAGTGGACTGATCTTTCCAATGCTTCAGTTTGCATGCACATATACTTATGGCATCCCTTGATTTGGTGATTATTTCTCGCTTAGTCTACTCTAGCTTACGAAGCAGTTTATCATAGTCGTCAAAGGTTGGCTTAAAACCCAAGGCTCCACTTGAAAGTGGAGAAGCTTACTTTTAACCTTGATTGCCGATTCTCGATAATGAGCCAAATTGTAAGAGCGATTTGTACTAATGAGAACATGCTATTCACAGAAGTTTAGTGGACCCCAAAACACTACATCAGCTTGGTCTACAGAGCATTTTCGGAAGCTGTGGTAAACAATCTCATTCTTGAACTGCAACATATCGAATTAGCTCTTGAGGTTGATGTCCACTTGTCCCAACATTCGTATCATAAGCAATACCGACATCTCAAAATGTTACGTGTGCAGGGTACGAGGAAAGACATCAACACTGCCTTGAAGGATGTCTGCAACAAACTACAACACAGCTTTCTTTCTTGTGTATAAACTTTAATAAGGATGCACAAGAAGGCGTTGCATCCTCAAGACATCATTCAGAAAATGGCTGTGCATGTTTCAATGTGCATGCAAACTAAATGCCAACAAATGCAAAAAAACATGGAGAGTTGTAAAACATACCTGCTATGTGAACTTATGCGGGTTCTGCACTATAAATGAACATCGGCGGTGGAAAATGAACGACATTGGGGAAATAAATTAATGTACATCTTTTTCACAACCCAGATAGCAACAGTCAAGTCTGCCACACTTTTTTTTCCAGCACAGCACAACCACCACCACTACCAAAATGAGATAAGGTGCACGGCTTCTGGCTGTGATGCACACTGTGAATTTTGGCAGATGCAGTGACAATGTCAAAAAAAAGTGTGTGAACAACCTTTCATCATTTTGCCTGAGAACAAACTGTGACACAAACACTAAAATGAGTAGTAAAAAGACCAGAGTTGTATCTTTGGAATATGCACTTCACACAATGAACTGAAAGTGAGAAAACTAACAACCTTAAGCCGAGCCAACATGGGCCTAAAGAAGGAAAGCTCGCTTGTGAAATTGTGTTTAGTTTGTGGGTCGGCTGGTAGGTATGAGTAGGTTAGGGTGAAAGCAGTGCTTTGACACTCTCACTTATTTGCACTGTTCTCATCTTAAGCAACTGTCAAGACTGCTACCTTCATTACCAACCCCTTCTTGGTCCACCTGAATCAATCCCAACTGCCGAGGAAAAAAAAACAAGACAGATCCTCTCTTAACAATGTTGAATCCAACTACTGAAGTTATCATATAATTAGCAATATGCTGGTGACACCAAAACGGTAACAGGAACCAGGCAAGGTGGCTTACAAAAGTTGGCCATGTCATGTCACCTTCCCCCGGAGTTTCACATCCTCCACAATCATTTTCAGCTAAAGGAACAAATGGCGCTGGCTGAAAATGATAACGATAAAGTACTCCAATTTTCTCAACAGCCAATGGTCAAGACGCTCACAGAACACGCCTCTCAACCTCTTGAGACAACATTGACAACGAACCTTGCAACACCTGTGAACAAAGATTCCCCCAAATGGAGTCTATGTGCCTCAGGATGAACAGTGCGTCAAATCGGGCAAGTTCTTAGTACACATATAAACTTCAAAAAGTGTGCTGCAGACAAGAAATACAGATCGTTGTAAGTGTCCATACCATGACCTACTGTACAAGTGACCAGCCCAGATGGCGGGGTTCCTATGGGAGCGAGTGTCCCCGCTTCGGTTCAACTTCTCACCGTTGGAGGCGCTACCAATAACCTGTTCGTCTGCTACTTTAAGGCTGTTTGGACAGCGCTAGAGTAAGAACGGCTGCATTCCATGATGAACAGCCGGCATATATGTGACTATTTTTTCCCTTAGATGACTGATCAAGTAAGCTGTTCAGTGTGACGAAAAATTTATTGCACACTAGTGGACAAATGTGAGAACCCGTAGACTTACATAGTGTAGGACAGCATATGTGATGTTGCGTCCATTTAATTGCAAAGAATTTCTGAATGACTTTTGAAATATTTGTTTCCAAATTATTTTTGATTAGTGCATAATAATTACGCAATATGAGTGCTCTGTTGGCCGAAATATGACCACGAACACTGAAGGTGACATCAGAGAACAGGTGCTGACTAGCGCCACAGCGCTCCTAAGTAACGGCCCTAGCGGCAGACGGAACAAACTTGGCATGGGCGCTAGAGAGGGGCTGTCTGGGCAGGTCAGGAGTAGAATTAGGTCATGGTCTGTACATGTTCTATCTTATCCACAGTATAATTTTGAGAGTTTAAGTAAAGACAAGCCCGGTTGTAAAAAATACTGGCAACGGCCTCAGTCATTAAGTCCAGGGAAGTTCATTCACAGAAGCAAGCAACACTGGCAGTCACACAGGGGACGCACTGGAAAGACCCACACCTGCGGGACAGCAACTACTAGAGCTGCTCGCAGTGGCACCAACTGAAGAAGGGACAACGCCATCACCGCCAGAGGGTCCCGCTTCGTCCAGGTGGCGTGGCTGAAGGCCCTTGTCAGATCCGCGGCTGGTACGTGAGCGTGACATGAAACGTGCGCACATCCAGTTCCGTACAGTCCTGCTCAGACACGACTGGTGGGCCATCAGTTCTCTTTGCCACCTAGAAACCACTCAGAGCGGGTACGCAACCTCTGGGCCTGCTGGCGCTCCAAGGGACACGATGACGATGCAGTCGCCTCGTCGACATGCAGCTCCGCCAGCGCGGGCGCGGACTGATGCAGCCCCCAGCGCTGCGCTTCAGCCTGCAGCCAAGAACGCTCGGCCTCAAGCGACGTTTTGCGTGGCACCAGCGAGTCTGGCGGGTACCGGAAAGCAAAGATCCAGTCCTCCTCAACACGAAGTACGCGGCCCGTCAGACGTGCGTAGTACTCATAGTTATGCCGACCAAACAGGTTGCTCACGCCAAAGTTGTCGATGAGAAAGCGCGTAGCTCGGCTGGCAGCGCGGAATCGGGCCACATCTTCCATGCGTGCCACTTTGCCCGTGCAGGTTCGAAAGAAGGAAGGTGCCACGCTGACACCTAGCGCTTCGGCCGTCATGCCGGTGCGGCTCAGGTCCGAGGCGACGAGACGGAACGTGCCAAAGAGCAGCACCAGCAGCCGCTGCGCAGGCAGTGGCAGCTGTGCAAGCAAATTCTGGACCCGCTCGCGTCGCTCCTCGAGGCCGCCTGGCTGGTCTAGCGCCACCAACAATTGGGCCTCTAGCTCAGCACCAAACACACCCCCTGCCGGGAAAAACACCACGAAACCTGAGGCACACAAATGACTTGCAATAAAATACCAATGAAAATATACAAATCAGTCAAGCCTTACACGGAGCCTACAATAAAACAATACTTAAATGTGACCAGCTGCCCCAATTACTTGACTCAACTTTGCTAAAACCATTATGATGGCAACTGATGATGTCATGCTTTGGCGAGTTGTCAAGATGGAGCAAGCAGAACACTTACCAGGAAGTTTTCGCAGAAAGCGCTTCAATACTGATGCCATGGTGTGTACAGAAAAGTTGTCCAGGTTCACCAGTCGACCCTGGTGCAAGAATTGCGCAAGCTTGCGTGCATTACCCTGGTGTCCCGGTGCCCGGAAGACATCTTTCTTGCGGGGAGCCTCCTGCACATGCAAATGACCAAATCCAATTCACTTCAAATAAGCCTTGGAGTGATGAGAAAGCATCGAACAAGAAATGACGAGGTAACTTTTATACATTGACACAGGAGCTGCTCGGTGTAGATTGATTACTATGCACACTTGCTCCCTCTGCCCCTTCTAGCTGGGGGAGGAAGAACAGATAATATTGTGTGCAATAAAAGAGAAAAGCACCAAGTGAACACAAAACGATGGCTGAACAGAACAACACTAAAGTTGTTCATCAGTAAAAAAAAAGAGAGAGAGACCCTTCCAACCTATAAATAAGGGTGACTAGAAGAGCTGTCAGGCGTACTGCCATCATTGCTCTCGTCGCTGTGCTTATTAAGTGCATTACACCTTGGCCATTCTCAAAATGCGCAGCTGCCACATGGTATAGTCAGATACCGCTATATAATTCCGCGTCACGTCACACACCAAAGGCGGAAGAACAAGAGCCCACACCAAGGGGGCACGCATACTGAACTGACGTCATGTGCCGGTCAGTCAGTGATTCCGCCCAAGAAGAAGATAGCTGCCTGTGCACCGAAATGAGACATTTTGCATCAGCTGTGGATGCCTGGCCTTCATCAAAGTTACGAAACTCATTATAGCATCATAATGTGCACAAAACTGTTGTATGCTCATGATACACCTCATATACCTCAATATTAATGAGGTCTAATAGACAATCATGCCAAGGAAAGTACAGAGGATGAGGATGTTACAAGAAGTAATTGTAATGTAAATGTGAAGACGAAAAAGTGGACCAAAAGGTAACTTGTCGTGGGCAAGGAATGAACCTACTGCCTTGGAATAACACGTCCAATGCTCTACCAACTGAGCTACCTTGGCGGCTACACCCCCATTCACTTTATGGGGTATATTTGTGCCTTAAACATGGAAGCGTCAGTCAGTGCTGCCTGTAGCTATGGCGGCAAGTGTGGAACACTCTTCATCAGCCTGTTTGTTGTCACATAACACGTTAACTTGTTACGAGCTGGCAGCTGACCAATGATTCCTCGTATACTACCTGAAGGCACCAAGTCTGTCAGAACGAGACCCTCACTATGGATTAAGGAAAGAAGTGTCCATTCAAGGGCTCATTTTCTTTGTTAGACACACCTAACAGGCAATCATGCCAAGTATAGGGGATGTTATTAGAAGTAATTGTAATATAAATGTGAAGAGAGAAAAGTGGACGAAAAGATCGCTTGCCGTGGGCAGGGACGGAACCTGTGACTTTCAAATGATGTGTCCGATGCTCTATCAACTGAGCTACCACAGCAGCTATCCCCCCCCCTTCCCCGGTCCACTTTATGGGCTATATATGAGCATCAAACGTGGGAGCATCAGCCAGTGCCGCCTGTAGCCATGGCAGCAAGTGTGGAACACAATCAGCCTGTTTGGCATCACGTAGCATGTGAACTTATAACACGCTGACAGCTGACAAATGTTCTGAAGCACTCTGGTCCCATTATCTTCACTTACCTGGTCTTTAAGATACTAAGCCTGAATTACACTGAGAAATACGCATTTTAGAAGCACAACAACTGTTTTGTAGCGAGAATATTTTTTTTTTTGGCCACACAGACAATCAAACCAACATGCTTCGGTGATCGAGCCGGGGCCTCTCCAGAATTCTTAAGTTGTATCCGACTATAGCGACAGATGACTGTGCCAACGCAGCACATCAACTAGACTAACACAACAAAGCAAGTATTGACTTGTTTTCACGACTTGAACACATTACTTCTTCCACCACTTTCTAGAGGGCATTATGGTTTTATCAGCTCGGTGCTTGAAATACACATCTGAAGCATTAAATTGAAAAACCCCAGATGCTCTCGAGGGAGTCATACCTGTGCCATACAGGCACTTTGGGAAGGTCACGTAGTCCATGGCCATCGAAACACCACGGCTGCTACACGTCAGCTTTGAACAGCCATTGAGTGGTTCAGGCATTCATCGCAAAAGTTGTGTGGCACTGCAGCTCTGTATTCTCATTTTCGTGTCAAGTAACCCTTTCCCTGACACAGGGTAGATAGGTGCTTTTTGTAGATTTCATTATATTTTATTGGCTGAAGGAACTAGTACACCTAGTATTTTGTGAAGACGTTATGAAAAGGAGAATGCAAGTGATAAAAATTGCCAGGTTGAAGATTGTGAAACGAAACAGAACAGTTTGTGAAGACGAATTTTTAGCTCTTAAGATAAAAAATAAATAACGGAAATCATAATATACAAAATGTACTGCCATCTGATGGGCACCATCTAAAAAATTCCAACTTTTCCTTTGAACAGAACTTCCGAAACAAAGATCTTAATGCAAGCACAACGATTGGGCTAGTCATGCAGCAAAGCAGTTTTTCGATGCAAAGCATTGTGCAACGTTGCATGTCTTGCAATGAACTCTTGTTTTCTGCTTGGTTTTCTAGCCTCACTTGCATTTCATACAGTTATGCAAATTTCCATCCTGACAGGCTGGCGCTGAAACACAAATTGAGGTGGTCCAAAGCAGAAAGGGAAGCTGACCAATGTTCTGGGCTGGTCTGAATCATCACTGCTCTCTTAGTCAAAGCCCAGCCAAAAAGCAGCATCCTCACTCGCCGCTGCTTATGAACCCTTTACTGCCGAGTGTGACGAATTCACAACATACTCATAAAATTCGTAAAAATCATAAAACATCTAGAGCCGTCTAGTCTCGGATATTTTATGCTAAAGCCAATTGTTTTGTAGCTGATGACGGAGAGTGCGAAGTGCGTGCAACAGCTCTCACTTGTTCATTCTTTCTCACCTGTGTGACGCAAACTCTACGTTGAATAATTTTTTTATTTGGTAGGTACGAACCCAAAAGGTGGCATACGACATGTTATGTTGATCTCAAGTACCTTTTTTGTTGCAACTTCATCTCTTGTGTGGCACATGGAGAATTCGTGACATCCGCGAAAGTAAGCATTAAAGTAGCAATTTATATAATTTAACTGTAGAATCATTTGAAGGTTGCTATTAAAAGCTGAAAAATGAAAACAATTTTTATTTTGTTCAGCAGTTTCAAAATTCAGGCATTAAAGGGTTCAATTGACAAAATTAGCTGCGAACACACTAAAGCACCAATACCTGAAATCTTTTAAACTGAATGCACACCGAATCTATCGGTCATCATTTTCACTTTCAATTTCTCACAATTACATAATTCTATAGCGCGTTCAAACATCAAGGCTAAGCGAGGAAAAAGATAAAACTACATAAAGAATAGAACTACAGTTTCTCTCATTTTCTCTTGTTAATGGTGGATGGCATAGTGTGTCTGTTAATGCATGGAATGTCTCAAAAGTGGCAATTGAAAACATCGATAACAGGCTATCAATGCCCAATGGTTGTTGTAAGAAAAGAGTTCAATGATATAAATCCACTTAAAAGCACGAATATCACAAATATTTCAACAAATTGCTCATACGTCCTTATGAATGCATATTTGCTTCGCAAGTATTTTGTCAGCAAACCTGCTACTAGTGAGACAGTACGTCAATTACAAAGAAGACGAGCACATCATTGTCGCTGAGAACTTGTGCACATTTCAAGTGGTGAAAATACTTTATTCAATAATTCACAATGTTCATGTGCACTGCTTTGAAAGCATACTGGGGAGATAACTTTTTTCGAACCATGAAGCAGCAAATTTGGTCCACATGGTGTGGAAATGTCAGAGTCAGAATGACGGTTCACGCATTCTATATTCCTGGGAGGCCCTGCTCTGCAGCCCGGACACAACGTCCAGCAAGATATCATCAGTCAAGCCCTTGCTTTTATCGTGTTTCAAGAGACTCTGGCCGACGGCTAGAGGCAACAGGCAATGCCCGACACAAATCACTGATTTTCTAATAAAGTTCTTTTCTCTCTCTCTCTCTCTCTCTCTCTCTCTAACTATGAGCACAAGCACACAGTGAAAGAGAGGGCATGTTCACACTGTCACTGCCTCCGTTGTTTGATGGCTATCAAACTTTATTCTTAAAGTCGATTCGTTGATTCTATTGACTGCCTACAAGACGTCTCGTTGTAGCAGCTCTTGCTTGATTTGCGGGTCAACAGACTACATTCGCCGACAGTTTCTTTGGAAGCTGAAGATTCAGACATGCACATTTATTTAGATACCCTTGTGGCACCGCCACTCGTCACTTTGAAGTAATGTGAACTCATGACACAAAAATTTGGACGCCACCGTGGCACGCCATTCGATTTTTCGGACATTGTCAGGCTGAATGGGTGCGGCCAGTGCGGCGTCGAACGCACCTCACTAGCTGTCCTTGATGTTAACATTTTTTCTAGGTTGCAAGCACTGAAAGGTTGCATGATTGCACTGGCTTCAGCTAGAGATCATGCCAATATAATGCAGAAATTACAATTGCTGATCGCAAAGGCTATGTGTTTTGGCAACACGTAATGATCGTTTTTCGACTTCAGCCAGCCGAGTATCTATTCAATGGCTACCACAGCCAAACCACAAGCCAAGGCACACTCGGAGTCAGCTCGGTGTGACGTTCGAAATCCCCGTGCATACATAATAGACAAAGAAAACATGAAAAACGGAAAATGAAAACGTGGAAAACAAGCGCTGCAGAGTGAACTAACCTGACATTGCTCCCTCTGGGCATTTAAGAGTTTGCTGATCAGTTGTTTCTGTGACTAGGCCTGATCTGCCTCTTACGTTTGCACCTCGCTCTCTCATTTGTAGCTTGACAAGCGGTGCCTAATCTGCTGAAATGGCTCTGACTCCATCAGTTCCATTTGAGCCATCAATGCTAACGAAAAAATGTTGCAACTACAAGACACCGACGATGACGAAAACAGTCGCAATTATGCACCAGATTGAAGGCGGCCGACCTCGATCAGGGGTTGCTCGGGTGTTACAGCCGAGTTGGGCGATGATGAGATGGTCTGTCAAGTCCCCGAACTAGCGCAGATGAACAGTGCTATAACATACAATTAGTGAAACATGAGCTTAAACGCAGGCCTAGTCGGTCGTCTGTGATCGTGCTTGTGGGCAGACATGCATTGACAAGTTTTGCTGGCTACTAGGCTAATGTAGGTGCTTTTTTCCTGTTGTTTTTTTTCTCTCTCCCCCCCACCTCTGGATAACTCTAGACTTTTCAGTGGTCCCCGTCGAGTCCAAATAAACAATAAGCGACAGTAACAGTCAGGAGACCTTACAAACGCCTGTGTGATATAGGAATGAGCTATTCTACTATTTCGTAAAGGGCCCTAGAGGCTTTATTGCACATCATCATCAGCAGCAGCAGCAGCAGCCTGACAGCGCCCACTGCAGGGCAAAGGCCTCTACCATGATTCGCCAATGAACCAAGTCTAGTGGTTTCTGCTGCTAGGTTATACTCGCGAACTTTTTATTCTGATCAGCCAACTTAACTTTCTGTGTCCCCCTCTTGCTTCTCTGGGAATCCAGTCAGACACCAAGACAAATCAATAAGAGAGTTGTGGCCTATAGAGATCTGCTACAAGAGAAGAGTGAGCAAGGCACCTTGTTGAGGCGCAGCATGAGCACGAGCAGCGGTGCAGGCAAGTCACTGCTGTCCTTGCAGAGCTGCTCCAGGGGTACTCCAAACTTTACTCGTTCCAGGCGGGAAGACGGAGCCTGGCCACCGCCGCACGAGGTCACCGCCTGGCTTAGGCTGGTGGCACCCCGATGGACACGGCGCGCCCACGTGGACATGCCTGCAGTCACCTGTCACAACAGGGCTCGATGAAGGCCAGCACTTTGCAGCAATGCTCTACTAGGCTATAGTTGAACGTTTAGAAGCAGACAAAGAGACACATACTAGTGCAAACTTGAAAAACACCGACCAGAAAAAAAAAACAGTAGGGGGGGAGCAGAAAGGTAGGGTGCTAAACCTCAACTCTATGTGGATCAAACTGGACGCTGTGTCAACGATCGAGCCCAGGAGCATGAATTATCTTTGAAGAATAAAGGAAATGCGCACTTGCCTGCTGTTGTGCCACCGACATGTTCCTCGTTCGGCAGCACGTCTCACGAGATCAAGCCCTGTTTCGACGAACTGTCTCCCCCCCCCCCCCCTCCCAGCGCCGCCTTCTGTGCAGGAGAACCGTGCAGTCCGGGGATAACGTCGTTTCCTCCGCCGGGCCACTTTGCAGTTCCGGGTATGGCTACATCTCCCCCTCCGAGCCCGAGAACTGGTCCGAGAGAATGGACCAAGGACGCTATTTAAGGCCGAGCCGGCCCCATGTTAGAAGGATTTTGCCCCAGCCGACGTTGTCGTGCTGGCCGGCCCTGTACAAACGACAACCTGCTACAGTAAACGCTACTTTTGTTGCTGTTTTCCAAACGGATTGCCTCCCTGTTTCACCTTCGGGCTAAGGCTTCAGCGAAGTCCGCTCGACGGCTCGCCGCTCATCGCCACCGCTACCATCGCGACAGAGCAAAATTCATAACAGTGGTTGGCAGCTTCGGGATACGATATCCTACGTTTGGCACGCCGGATCAGACCCCTGTCCTCAACATTTTGCTGCTCTGGGACCCGCTACCCCGATCTCAACGGCTGAAAAGTTGGATCGGAGCACGAGGACGACCGCCGTGATAGCGTTTGGCTACGCTGCGATACGCTACCCCTGCTCTCATCGTTCGGCAAGCTGGGACAAGCAACCCCGGATCTCAACATTGGCAAGTTGGACCGGATCCCTGAAGGCCTGATACTGTTCCACGGCAGCCACGAGTTGGACCATCGTCGGCTACTTTGGTTGGGTGAGTGCCCAACGTTTACTGTTCATTTCGCCAGACCTCTCTAGCACAGGCAGATGTTAGGAGAGTGTTTTGTTTTGTTGGTTATAATTTAATATTCACCTGCTTTAAACCTTAGTTTTGGAGTACGGTGAATATCTGTAGTAGAGCATCACGAGGGACGAGATCGCGATGGAGCAATACCTGGTGCAGGACCTCCTTGAAATTTGTGGAGCCATGGGGATTTCCGCCGGTTCCGCTAAAACAAGGGAAGCGATTCTCGAGGTGATGCGGGCAGAGAATGTGACGGCCGAGGAAGCTGACGAGTTTTGGGAGCTCATTTGTGAGCAAAAGCAGAAGGCCGAGAAAAGCCGCGAAGAGCTCGAAGCTCAAAGGCGCGAACAGCAGAAGGCCGAAGAGCTCGAAGCTCAAAGGCACGAACAGTGGAAGGCCGAAGAGTGCCGAAAAAGGAGAGAGCATGCTCTCAAAATGAAAGAGCTTGATCTTCAAATTCAAGCACTTAAATGGGAGCGAGCTAAACACCAGCTCCACAACTTTCAGACAGGCGAGAACATCGCGCATTTTCTTGATGATTTTGAAGTTGTCTGCTGTAATGTTGATGTTAGCCGCGACCTTTGGGTGGAGAAGCTCGCCACGCTGTTGCCGCGCAAGATAGCGCATGTTTTGAATTGCTTACCCTTCGAGGAAGCAAGAGACTTCAGTTATGTTAGATATGCCTTGATAAGATATTTTTTTCTTTCAAGTCATGCTGACAAGGAAAGTCGGAGCGATGAAGACAGGGTTGAAGCGCCACGAAGGGCGCTAAAGGACGACGCCCGCCGAAAAGAGCGTGAGGATGAGGCGCGCCGTGAAGCGATGGAGGTGGAAGCGCGTGAAAATGAGGCTCGCCGAAGAGCGCTAGCAGTAGAAGCGCGTCGAGAAGCGCGTAAATATAAGGCATGCCGAAAAGCTATGGAAGCTGAGGCCCGTCGCGAAGCACAAGCCGCAGAAGTGTGCCAGAGAGAGCGAGACGCCGAAGTGCGTCGGATAGAGCCAGACGTTCAGGTGCATCGCAAGGAGTTTGGGGCCGAGCCCCATCGCACGGCTAAGGACGCCGAGGCGCACCGCGAAGCGCTAGAGACGGAGCCGCTTCACAGCACACATGATCCAGATGCATCGCATCAAAAAGAGTTTGACAAGTCGAGTCGTAAGGCGCTACAGGTTGACGCCTGTCGACAAAATATTGAGCAGGATGCGCGAGATAAAGCGCTACAGAATAAAGCTCTTAAAAGAGAGCACGAGGCTGACTTCGAAGGGCAGAGAACAAGGGCTAACCACGACAGCGATAAACCCCCACCGATCGAAAGCTCTTTAGGCGCGTTAGTTGCTTTTAAAGGCATCGGGACTCCCGTTCTGTCCCAAGCAGAGGCAGCTAGCAACGGGCCCGAGGATAAGCTAGATAACCAGTGTGGAGTTTCGGGAGTACTTGTCAAAGGCAGCACACTTGGAAGTAAGTGTGTCGAGACTGCCAGTATTGGGAGAAGTTCCGACAGAAAGAGGCGCCGGCTTAAGCATAGCGCGGTAAAGACGACTGACGCCAAGCACGCTAAAGCCGCTGTTAAGTGCCGTGGCGTTATCAGTCGAGACGCCAGGCTTAAGGCTGGGCGTAAAATCGCGAAAGGGTCCTCAGCGAAATGTTTGAATCTCAGCCCATCACTGAGATTGAGATCAGGCGGGAAGTCCGTCAAGAAAAACCGAGTTTCAGTGAAATTCGGACGCCAAGATCATCGCCTGGTCTCATCTTTTTCGCTGCCGCGTAGAGGCAATCACGTGGAGAAGCATCGCGTACGCCTGAGTGGTAACAAAGGCTGTTATTCCCCACCGTGGCGAAAGGGTCACTGGTCAAACCGGAGGGGTAAACGACGCACTGCAGATGCCCTTTTCTTCGAGTTGAGTGGCTGTACAAAAGTCGATGCTACTAAGTTCGGCGAACAAGTTGGTTCGTCGTCCTTTTGTCCAGACCGCAATCCTCGAAAGCTGTGGAGTGCGCGACTCCCCAGAGTTCGCCTGAGAGAGTGCCACCTTGCTAAAACGAAGAGTGTATTTTTTGTATTTGAATTTTGAGAATAACCTTATCTTATTTGGTCGCCCTCCTATGAGCTATGAGTGCATCTAAATTTTTGTAAGTTTTACTTTCCTTCTCATTGGAGAAGCACGCATTGGTATGTTTGTTCCATTATTTTGTTTTCATAAAATTTAAAAAGGCAACAGTCAGTGTGTTTTAATTTAACAGAGAAGGCTGAGTAAAAGGCCTGTTTAAAATACGTTCTTTGTTTGGCATTACGTGTTGGTAAGCGTGTCAGTGTGGGTTAACTTTGCCCTTTGTTTTGTTTAACGCGCGCAAGTTTGATTTTCATTGTTATTCACTTACTTTTTCAAGCGCGTTTTATTTTGTTGGGATGCTCTTTGGCTGAACACTTTGAGTTAGGGCTTATCGAATGGCTTTGTTTTGTTTAGCGGTTTTACGCTTGCAGGCTACGCAAATGTGCGTGATTCGAAAACTCTTGGTATTCTAAATTGTAGATTCGGGACCAAATTGAGTCAACATCGGCAGCTTCGATCGTCCCTAATCTGCCCGGGTCACAATCGAAAATCGCTCACGAAAAAAAAAAATTCTGTTTGGTTTAGCAGTGTCAGGCACTGTAAAGGAGTGTCCACATTATGTATTCCTCCCGAGATTCGTTGCTCGTGATGCTATTTGTTAGCTCAGCGTAATCTCGAGGAAACATTTGGTTTCTGCTGGTCTGGCGACTTGATCAGCATTTGGAGGGTGCTTGCTTTGGCCAGAGTGGTTCGGCTTTGTGTTCGACTCCGTCGTTCCAGTGAACCTCTGCAGGCCTATGGAAGTCTCAACGGGCGGAGAGAGCGGAACGGCTACCGACGGTCAACCAGCATCCCTCCTTCCAAGCCGCGCTGACGGCTCAAAACTCCGGATGCATTGTCTGGCGGCGGGGGTGCTGTTGTGCCACCGACATGTTCCTCGTTCGGCAGCACGTCTCACGAGATCAAGCCCTGTTTCGACGAACTGTCTCCCCCCCCCCCCCTCCCAGCGCCGCCTTCTGTGCAGGAGAACCGTGCAGTCCGGGGATAACGTCGTTTCCTCCGCCGGGCCACTTTGCAGTTCCGGGTATGGCTACATCTCCCCCTCCGAGCCCGAGAACTGGTCCGAGAGAATGGACCAAGGACGCTATTTAAGGCCGAGCCGGCCCCATGTTAGAAGGATTTTGCCCCAGCCGACGTTGTCGTGCTGGCCGGCCCTGTACAAACGACAACCTGCTACAGTAAACGCTACTTTTGTTGCTGTTTTCCAAACGGATTGCCTCCCTGTTTCACCTTCGGGCTAAGGCTTCAGCGAAGTCCGCTCGACGGCTCGACGCTCATCGCCACCGCTACCATCGCGACAGAGCAAAATTCATAACACTGCGCACTGTATAATAGCCTGCAGGTGTGATCCTCGGCTCCATGAGATCAAGATAATCGACAGAAGTAACAACAGGACACATTAGCACATTAGAGGCATTTCATATTAAGAAGAGAGGCACAAGTTGCATTAGTGATACGTCTGCTTCACTTTACCAAAACGAGCTGCAGCTTCTTGACGTGCGAGTGAGTGTTTACCGATTTTGATGCACGCATGCGCAGAGACTTGTAATCTGGTGGCCCGTTCTTTCGAATGAACAGTTGAAGTTTATTGTTGACGTTAACCAACTCACCCAACAACATGTCTTACTCGACCGCATTTCAAAGCAGCATAATCTGCTTAGGGAGCACTAGGTTCAGGATAGTCGATACGATACATAGCCTCAGATACCACACAATGACACGAGCGACAAAAGAACAACACAAGTTAAGCGCTACTTTAGACTATAATTTGCGTGTGAGATAACACTATGTAAATAGGTGTAGCTCCCCCAAAAAAAGAATAGCAG